ATATATATATATATATATATATATATATATATATATATATATATATATATATATATATATATACTTTTATGTATACATATATATATATATATATATATATATATATAAATTATAAAAGTATAAATAAAACAGTAGTGTGTGTGTTTGTGTGTATTTCAGCCCAAGTTCATCCCCGCCTTTATCCAGTCAGAGAACAACACACACAGCAGTACCCTTTTTTTTTTTTTTTTTTTTTTTTTTTTTTTTTTTTTTTTTTTTTTTTTTTTTTTTTTTTTTTTTTNTTTTTTTTTTTTTATTTCTCTTTCTTTCTTTTTCTTTCTCTCCTTCTCTCTGTGTCTTTCTCCTCTTTCTCTTTTTTTTTCTTTTTTTTCTTTTTTTTTCTTTTTTTTTCTTTCTTTCTGTGTTTGTCTCCTCTTTCTCTTTCTCTGTCTCTTTGTCTCGCTTTCTCTGTCTCTGTCTCTCTCTCATCTATGTCTTTTATATTTTCTCTGTTTGTCTCTTTTTTCTTTGTCTTTGTCTCCGCTGTCTCTGTCTCCTCTCATCTATCTCTTTTATATATTCTCTGTCTGTCTCCTTTTTTCTTTGTCTCTGTCTCTGTCTCTCTCTCATCTATCTCTTTTCTATTTTCTCTGTCTGTCTCTTTTTTTTTTCCTTGTCTTTGTCTCTGTCTCCTCTCACCTATCTCTTTTATATTTTCTCTGTCTGTCTCCTTTTTTTTTCTCTGTCTTTGTCTCTGTCTCCTCTCACCTATCTCTTTTATATATTCTCTGTCTGTCTCCTTTTTTCTTTGTCTCTGTCTCTGTCTCCTTTCACCTATCTCCTTTATATATTCTCTGTCTGTCTCCTTTTTTTTTCTTTGTCTTTGTCTCTGCTGTCTCTGTCTTAGAAAGCAAAAGGAAGGGGACTATGATATCGTCTCTGGCTCCCGCTATATACCGGGTAAGTAGAGACAAAGAAAAGAGAGAAAAGAGACAGAAAAGATATATAAAAGAGACAGAAAAGAGACAGAAAAGAGACAGAAAAGAGACAGAAAAGAGACAGAAAAGAGACAGAAAAGAGATATAAAAGAGATATAAAAGAGATATAAAAGAGACAGAAAAGAGACAGAGAAAAGGGAGAGAGAAGAGACAGAGAAACGAGAGAGAGAAGAGACAGATAAAAGAGACAGAGAGAGGAGACAGATAAAAGAGACAAAGAAAGGAGACAGAAGGAGACAGAGAAAGGAGACAGAGAAAGGAGACAGAGAGAGGAGACAGATAAAAGAGACAGAGAAAGGAGACAGAAGGAGGCAGAGAAAGGAGACAGAGAAAGGAAACAAATGTTTGTGTTTTGTTTGTCTTAGATAAATCAAAAGCAAGGGCTCCTGCAGCCCCTGTTCTTAGGCAGAGAAACAGGGTTTAGGGTTTAGGGTTTAGGGTTTAGGGTTTGGGGTTTGGTGGTGGTTTGTTCAGAGCTGTCTGCTGGAGACAGTGTTCATAGGGAGAGACATAGTGCAGAACATACATAAGGGTTTAGGGTTTAGGGTTTAGGGTTTAGNGGGTTTAGGGTTTAGGGTTTAGGGTTTAGTGTTTAGGGTTTAGGGTTTAGGGTTTAGGGTTTAGGGTTTGGTTTGTTGCTGTGATAGGGGGTGGGGTCCATGGGTGGGACCTGAGGCGGAAGGTCATCAGCAGAGGAGCTAACTTTCTAGGTACAAACAGACTCTCTCCTGCTGCTGCTGCTGCTGCTGCTGCTGCTGCTGCTGCTGCTGCTGTTGCTGCTGTTGCTGCTGATGGTGTTGCTGCTGCTGCTGCTGTTGCTGCTGATGGTGTTGCTGCTGCTGCTGCTGTTGCTGCTGATGGTGTTGCTGCTGTTGCTGCTGCTGCTGTTGCTGCGGATGGTGTTGCTGCTGATGGTGTTGCTGCTGATGATGTTGTTGCTGCTGCTGTTGCTGCTGCTCTCGCCGCTGCTACTGTTGCCGCTCCTGGTGTTGCTGCTGCTGCTGTTGCTGCTGCTGCTGTTGCTGTTGCTGTTGCTGCTGTTGCTTTTGCTGATTATCCCGGTGCTGGTGTTGGCGCCTCCGTGGCCTTTGTTGCTGTTGAGGTAGCTGCTGCTGCTGCTGCTGTTGCTGCAGCTGTTGCTGCTGCTGCTGCTGTATAGCAGCTTGTGTGCTGCTGTTGGGGTGTATCTGCAGCTCAGCTGCTGCTGAATCCTGGTGTCAGTGATGCGACGGGCTCCTTTCGGTATGGCTGCTGCTGCGTCTCGGTTGTCTCCTTCTTGCTGCTGCTGCTGCTGCTGCTGCTGCTGCTGCTGCTGTTGCTGCTGTTGCTGCTGCTGCTGCTGCTGTTGCTGTTGTTGTTGTTGTTGCTGTGGTTGCTTGTGCTGGTGTTGTTTCTGTTGCTGCTGCTGTTTTTCGTCTGTCTCCTTTTTGTTTTTTTTTGTTTCAGGTGTCTCCTTTCTGGTGTTTTTATTTTTTATTTATTTCTTCTTTTTTTCTGTCTTTTGTCTGTCTCTTCATTTTATTTTTTTATTTTATTTTATTTTTTTTCTTTTCTCCCCCCTTCTGCTGCCATCGATACACCCGGCGGTGTCTCCTCTGTCTCCTTTCTGCTGCTGCTGTCTCCTTTCTGCTGCTGCTGTCTCCTTTCTGTTGCTGCTGCTGTCTCCTTTCTGCTGCTGCTGCTACTGTCTCCTCTATCGTGTTGCTGTCTCCTGCTGCTGCTGTCTTCTTTCTGCTGCTGCTGCTGCTGTCTCCTTTCTGCTGCTGCTGTCTCCTTTCTGCTGCTGCTGCTGCTGTCTCCTTTCTGCTGCTGCTGCTGCTGCTGCTGCTGCTGTCTCCTCAGTTTGTATAAGAGGAAAGTGCTGGAGGCACTGATGCCGCAGATTCAGGCCAAGGGTGCGTAGCCTCAAACCCTAAACCCTAAACCCTAAACCCTAAACCCTAAACCCTAAACCCTAGGCCCTGTTGTTAGCTGCACAAACCCTGTCTTTAGGGTTTAGATGCAGCAGCAGATGAAGGAGACAGCAACACAAACGGAGACAAAAGAGACAAAACAACAAAAAGGAGACAAAGGAGACAGCAGCACAAACAGAGACAGAAATAAACAAAGGCCGCCAACGTGGTTTCTGCTGCTGCTGCTGCTGTTCCCGCTGCTGCTGCTGCTGTTCCTGCTGCTGCTGCTACTGCTGCTGCTGCTGCTGCTGCTGCTGCATGCATGCAGGGTATGCGTTTCAGATGGAGGTGGTGGTGAGGGCGCGGGCTGGTGGCTGCAGGATAGGAGAAGTGCCGATTACGTTTGTGGATAGGGTGTATGGGGAGTCGAAGCTAGGTGGGGTGTCTCCGCAGCTGCAGCTGTGTTGCTGCTGTCTCCTCAGCTGTCTCCTTTCAGCAGCAGCAGCAGCAGCAGCAGCAGCAGCAGCAGCAGAAGCAATAGGAGTTGTTGGTGT